GGTCACGTGACAAGCCAATGTTCAATGTATCGAATTTGTGGTTCCGTACTGGGTATTGTTCCCTGAATTTGTGGAATAGTTTGACCCCTGATTTCTTCACATTGTTCCCTCGTTTCTTGTAGGGGGGAGGGGCGGTTAGAAGGAAGACAATGACAAAGGCACCATGTATACCCTTTTAACTTAACATGCGTCTTTTTAACCTACACAGAAATATTTCAAGACAACAATGTAACGCAATGTAAAGATTTCAAAGGTGTTACACCGCCTATGCAAGCTTAAACTGAAAATAAGACTAGCAATAAAACTATTAAACTCTGTAATAGGAAAAAGGAACATGATGCTCTGCATTCAATGGGGTGGTTCTTGATGTTAATTCTGCCGACACTCTTTCACGATTAGCTAGGGGTACACAGACAGTTGTTTTCATTGTTTTCTTTTTGTTGGTTTGGGAAAAAAAATAAGTATTTGCACTAACCTTACGTTCACTAAACCTACGTTTGATATGAGGGAAGCTGCACGTAATCCCAAAAGACATTCTCCCAAATGCCAATAGCCCAAAGTCGTTTTCCGGAATGGATATTTATCCGAATGGTCCACTTTTATAAAAACCACATGCTCGAAGGCCGTCTGCCCGATACATTCTCCACGTCCTACAGAATATTTAAACAATGTATCCATTTATATTTATTCGTTTAAACATTCGGTTTTTAATCCAACTTCCCATCTCTATAATACAGCCGAAGCTACTATCGCCCAATGGATTACATCAGCACCCCCCCCCCTACACCGATTGGAGATATCGAACACTTTTAGTATCCACTGTCACAAACCAAATGTTAAGACATAAACGATTTTTTAAATCAAGCAATAAAGGCCGCTAATGCCCTCTATTATAATTGGATCCGTCACGAAGTTAATGAGTTTTTCGGCGAATACTTGAACATGTTAGTGGATGATACGTTTGGTGAAGTTCTACAGCTAATAACCTCCCTTGTATTAAACAAATTTTAATCATGGGAAATAACTTAAATTTAGATTCATATAGTAAGCGGAGTACTAGGTATAATGAGCGTTGAAAAATAAATTAAAACTTTCACTTAAGTTTTTATTTCGAAGACGGTTTTCTCCAATGGAAGATCAGACGGCTATCATTAAAATCGATGCTATTTTCACTTAAATCTTTTCTAGCCGACAGTACTGGCTTTACTAACCAATCGTCTGTTCATGAATTCTCGCGTGAAAGGCTACTGAACTATGTTTCAAACTGGCTCCTCTATCTGTAGATCACTGTATCACTGCATTTCTGAGTTATTTTATGTGAACAATACTGGGCTATGTTTACAACAAACTCGTCCACTTGTAGATCACTGTGTCACAGCATCTCTGAGTTGGTTTATGTGAACGCTACTGGGCTATGTTTACAACAGACTTGACGATCTGTAGATCACTGTGTCACAGTTTCTCTGCCTTTTTTTTTTGTACACTACTTTAGATTGTTCGCTTTTTTGTATTATTTAAATTGCTTCGGGTTTAGATTCGGTTAATAATAATAGTCTTTAACATTTTAACAATACGTACGTGTACCCCCATCCATATTTAATAATAAACACGACGGTGTGGTAGCATATACTAGACTTATAATAGAAACAATATTCATTAAAAACTTTGTTCTACTAGTAAACAAAAAATACGCATTGGATTTTTCACTACTTGACAAAAAAGCAATACATTGTAATTCAAATAATCAAAACACATTAACATTCTCACCTGTTTTTCGAATACCCCAGGGTGTGGTTTCAGGTGAGTGGGGGGGGGGGGGGGGGGGGGGGTTAGCCCCCGGGTTAAGTACCTAAAATAGTTCTGTGACCGACAAACAAGAACGTGCTTTGTAAATAATTTTTTTTTTTTTGAAAATTAAAAAAAAATGGCTTTGAGCGAACATTTTAATGTTCACTTAACAATAAGAAAGTGTGCTTTAAAGAAAACTGAAAGGTTTGGAGAAAAAGCTTACAAAGTCCTAACTATAACGCTGGCTAGTGGAATTTAGGATATTAATTATTAAAGTGGCGTTTAAGCACCTTAAACTATTTATTACTTATTTTTTAACTAAACTAACAACAGTTACTAGAACATAATTATATATTTAAAAAAACATATAGTTTTATTTTTACATAAAAAGAAAGCGAAATTCAAACGTGACTTTCTGGCCAGCGACCTTTGATTTTTTGGCCCGCAGTTATTAAAGCCAGAAAGTACCTGGCCAAACGGGGCTTCTGATCAACGTCTCTTTAATTGCGCCGGTCGTCTGTTTGTCCACGCACGCCCCGTCCTCGTGCGACTGGTAAATTTGTCCACTTAAACGACCGTTTTTGGACGTCTTCGCAACAGGCGTGAGGGAACTATGATTTTTTTAGAGGGGGGAGGGGTTGTGAGAATGCTGAAGAATATAAAAAAAATTATACTCTATAATAAGAATGAATTTAAGGAGTTTTTAGAATCGAAATGAAACGGCAACTTTATAACGAAACGGCGATAAATCACGGATTGGATAAAAAAAAAAGCAGTATTCAGCAACGGCAAATTAGAGACCTGAGAGACCTGGGATGTTTTTTGGGCTGTCGGGGTAGTTAAAAAGCCCTTTTAATTTAAAAGGGCTCAAGACGGATCGCTTGGCAGAAATCTGTACCAAAGTGCAAGCGGAAAGGTTGAGTGTTTTTTGTTTTTTAACCCTTTCTCGTCTGACGCGTGTCGTGGATGGAGAACATGGTGAAGGTTAAGGTCGAGGTGTGGTGGATACTGAGGTGGTGGGTGGGTGGAGGGGGGTGAAAAGTGAACGTCGTGTCGGAGGTGAATAATTTATGTTGGGTAGATTGGAAGCAACAGGAAGGTGTTTTTTTTAACGGCGATGTTACTTACTATACAAGGTGTTGTATTCTCTTGTTATAGGGTTGTCCAGTTATTCTGTTTATTGGGGTCAGTGTTTTAGGTCATAGTTCGTTGGGGTCAGTGTTGTTGTCTCAATTTGTTTGGGGTCAGTGTTTTACTCTCAGTTTGTTGGGGTCAGTGGTTTAGTCTCCGTTTGTTGGGGTCAATGTTTTAGTCTCTGTTGGGGTCAGTGTTTTAGTCTACGTTTGTTGGGGTCAGTGTTTTAGTCTCTGTTGGGGTCAGTGTTTTTGTCTACGTTTGTAGGGGTCAGTGTTTCGTTCTCTGTTTGTTGGGGCCACTCTCTCAATCAGTATTGTTTCGTTGCGGTCACAATGTGTTTGGTAATGAACAACACATTTTGAAATGTTAACGACTAAATCAACCAGAACCCAATCACTGATCTTGGTTGCCCTGTAGTCTAAAACGCACACACCGTTGAAGAATAACAGTTGGACGTCCCACACCAAAGTCTCAACGCCCTGAATTGTTCATGTCAAGGCCTGTCAGTCTTTTAAAAAAAAATAAGGCACGGCATTAAACAGCTGTCAATGCGCTTAAGTATCTCCCATCGTAGGTCAAGGCCATCAAAAGACGCACACTTTTATCGTAATTCAATAGTCCAAAGTGGTGCTTTCAAACTTCAACGCGATAGAGATTGGGGGTGCTGGGAGGATATTAAAGCAGAGGAACCGACCCCGGGAAATGAAATAAAAAGTGCCTTCTGAGAGCGATTACCGGAACAGGAAGTCTAAAATTTTCGCCTGAGTTTTGGGTCAGTGGCATCACTGGTTCATGGTACTTATACCTTGATCTAGGGGCCATCAGGGCAGAGGCGTTGCTAAAGTGTGAGGGGGGGGGTGGCTGTTATACCTTAATTTCAGATGTTTTATAAGACCATCACGACAGAGGCGTTGTTAAAGTGGGGGGGGGGGGCTGTTATAATTTCAGATGTTTTATAAGGTCATCACGACTGAGGTGCTGCTAACGTGAGGTGTTGGGGGGGGGGGAGGCTGTTATACTATAATTTCAGCTGTTATATGAGCCAACTAAAGTTGGGTTGGGGGTGGGTGGTATGGGGGGACGGTACTACTATACCAAGAATTTCAGCTGTCCCATGAGCCATTATAACAGAGGCGTTGCTAAAGTGTGGTTTGGGAGGGGGGGGGGGTTGTTGATTGTCAAAACAAAAACTTCAGGAAGACTTCGCTAACACGGCATTGGTCACTCTGAGATCAACAGGCTAAAGCTGTCATAGTGGAATGTTAGAAATAAAAAGTTTAGATTTTTAAAGAGATTTAGTTTAGTTTTAACAACAACAAAAACAAAATTGACTTGACATGACTAGAAATCGACACGGCGAATGGGACTTAGTTTAGATTTTTTAAAAATTTCGATGGATGAATGGTTTGGAAATGTTAAAAAAAAATCAGGTACTATATTAAATATATATTATATTTAAGGATATAGTTAATTTCTCAACAACGAAAATAAGGTAATACAATTTAAAATTCCGCTTGTTATTTAAAATATTAAACCTTCCTCTCTAGGAATGTGTTTACTTAAACTTGAGCAACAAAACCGTAGATTTTATAAAAATTGAAATACCCATTCGGCATTTTAAAAAGAGGAACAACTTAACTATTACTTAAATGTCAAAAGTGCTAAATTTATCTTTCATTCAATTTTGTTAAAAAAATTTTTGTCTAAAACTTTTAAAACTGCCCACGGCACTGGTTTTTTTTTTTTGGTTCCGCAGCTTCTTGTATTGAAACAGCTAAAGGCTCACATTGACAAAAAAAAAAAGGTTTCGCTTATTTACTGTCCCACTATTAATTCCAATAAATGTTTTCTATAAATTTTAAAACATTTTATAATGTGATTTCTATACATTTTGAAACATTTTTAAAATGTGACATTTCACAGAAAACTGTTTCCTCTTAAAAAATACAGCTAAATATTTTTTGTATAATTAAAACTATTTTTCCCCCAACATTTCACTTGTTTTGTTGTGAATATTTTAATAATTTTCCACGCCGTTGAAATCTAAAAAAAAAATTTTGTCTTTCTTTTTACAGCAAGACTGTGTTTCTATTCCTCACCTGACACGTAAGTATAGTCTACTTTATTGTGTTTTTTAGCTAAGTGATACAGTCACAGATCTAGATTTGAGTTTAGACTACTTGTGTGTAGTTGGGTAGGATAATACCGTCACACATCTAGTTTTGAGTTTAGGCTGTGTGTATTTTGTTAGGAAGGGCGATACTCACACAGATTTGAGTACTCTCTACGTGTGTGTTCTATAGCTGAATGATAAAGTGACACATCAAGATTTGAGTACTCGCTACGTGAGTGTATGTTCTATAGCTGAATGATAAAGTGACACATCAAGATTTGAGTACTCGCTAAATATGTGTTCTATAGCTGAATGATAAAGTCACACATCAAGATTTGAGTACTCGCTACGTGAGTGTATGTTCTATAGCTGAATGATAAAGTGACACATCAAGATTTGAGTACTCGCTAAATGTGTGTGTGTTCTATAGCTGAATGATAAAGTGACACATCAAGATTTGAGTACTCGCTAAATGTGTGTGTGTTCTATAGCTGAATGATAAAGTGACACATCAAGATTTGAGTACTCGCTAAATGTGTGTGTGTTCTATAGCTGAATGATAAAGTGGCACATCAAGATTTGAGTACTCGCTACGTGTGTGTGTTCTATAGTTGAATGATAAAGTGACACATCAAGATTTGAGTATTCGCAACGTGTGTGTTCTATAGCTGAATGATAAAGTGACACATCAAGATTTGAGTATTCGCTAAGTGTGTGTGTGTGTTCTATAGCTGAATGATAAAGTCACACATCAAGATTTGAGTGTTCGCAACGTGTGTGTTCTATAGTTGAATGATAAAGTGACACATCAAGATTTGAGTATTCGCAACGTGTGTGTTCTATAGCTGAATGATAAAGTGAAACATCAAGATTTGAGTATTCGCTAAGTGTGTGTGTTCTTTAGCTGAATGATACACATCAAGATTTAAGTATTCGCTAAGTGTGTTTGTGTTCTATAACTGGATGATAAAGTGACACATCAAGATTTGAGTATTCTCTGCGTGTGTGTTGTATAGTTGAATGATAAAGCGACACATCAAGATTTGAGTACTCGCTACGTGTGTGTTCTATAGCTGAATGATAAAGTGACACACCAAGATTTGATTATTCGCTAAGTGTGTGTGTGTTCTATAGCTGAATAATAAAGTCACACATCAAGATTTGAGTATTCGCTAAGTGTGTGTGTTCTATAGCTGAATGATAAAGTCAAGTCTCGAGGTTTTTCCTCGCGGTGTAACCCAGCAGTATTAAGTTCGCGAGAAATCACGAGATCTCTCTCTATGAAAGAACCACATTTCCTATTCTCGATTAATTTGTTCTTTTTGTGTTCATTGAACGGATGTACAATTCCGGCATAATATTATTGTCCTTTTGTTATTGAAAGGAATTTGTTATTGGCATTCTCCCATGGTACTGCGCTTGAAGGCGACCTCCCCCCCCCCCCCCCACGCCGCCTTTTCACTAACGCGCCCTTAAAATCTTGATATTAAGCTCACCACTCCACCCTCCCCCACTCTTCATTCTTCTATTTCATCAGCAGAGGATTTAGATTCTTATTTTTAGTTTTTGGCTTGGCAAACAACAACAAAACCAAAACAGACTTGGCATAACCAGACTGTGACACAGCTAAAGGGATATTTCCTTCAGCTAAACATTCGGTCACATTTTTTTAAAATGAACATTCCCCTCACCTGATTCCCAGACTGACTTGTAGCACGTTCAGAAATTAGACATCTGCATAAACTGCATAAATAAAAAATAACCAACTGTATGTAGTATTTCTTCCAGACTTTTTTCTCCGGGGGGGGGGGGGGGGAGGGGGCACCTGAAATTTTCGTGGGGGGGGGGGGCTGACTAAAATTTCCGGGGGAGGGGGGGGTGGATTGGGGGATGGGGGGGGGGGGGCGGACAATGTTAAAAGTATAAATTTTCTATATAAATTCCATTTCGTCCCGCGCCTCCCCCCCCCCCCCCCCCCAGAAGAGATGCTTGGAAGAAACTCTGACTGTATGTTGCGTATTTTAAATGTCTACAGCTAAAAATACCGTAATGAAAAACCTGAACGTCTGTGGTCAATGAATGATGAACGACTTACATATCATTCTCAAAGTACATGATTTCTATATTACTTTCGTCATATAGATATACCGACTCAGGAGTATCACTCCCTTTAGGCAGGCAGGCCTCGACGTAGCCAACTCCGAGTAACTGGCTTTATGCGGTCTGAATCAGCCTGCAAACATAGCGGTTTGAACGCTATATATTGGTCTATATTACTCCACTATCAACATTTGTTATTGTTTTATTATTGTTGTTAAAGTATAGACTAAGGTAGTAAAGTTTAACACACATTCGTGTTTTACTATCGTGTAATTGCTATTGCCCAGTTGCCACTATCCCTGTTAACTGTTACCGAACTAATCTAGACAAGCCAATTACTTGCTTAGCTTTTTATTTTATTTCTGTTCACTTACGTTTTTTTTTCGTCTGTTTGTGATTGTTAAGTCCATTCCTGGCAAAAATCAATGTTACAAAACATTTACATTTTTGGGCTACTATTCCCATGAGACACCCTACTGTTTGTTGAACTACCGTGTTTGTTGAGGTTTGTTTGTCTAGACTTGTGGATTTCATTCTGACCACAGAACCTCTAAGTTTCTGACGGTAAATCTAAATCGTGTTGTATTTGTGTTCAGCTAGTTTTCACTATGGTTTCAGTGTGTCTTTAAAATATGTACATATATGTTGTGATATGAATAGTTTCTTTCAGGCATCTCTTCGGTTGCAGGAAGGGGGGGGGGGGTTCTGCCGAATCAAATAGAACTTATGTAAAAAAAAAATCCATACCTTTACTTATATATATATATATATATATATATATATATATATATATATATATATATATATATATATATATATATATATATATATATATATACACCTTTACCGACGACCAAACTCCCCCTCGGAAATTTAAGTCCGACACGGGGGTGGGGGTGGGGGGGGGGAAGGGGTGGGGGGGGGGGAAGGGGGGCGTCGATCGGGGTAGAAGGAAAAAAAGCTTATTTAGATCTGCTTTACTGTATTAAACTCAGTCGAAGTTATAAAAATAAACTGCAACTTTGTTTTACAGACTTATTTAAGTGTTTTCTACATCAACTTTGAGGCATCAAAATAAAAACTCTTAAGGGGCAGTAAATGGTAAAAATCGCACCGGCCTTTCGAAATGTGTGTGCGTGTAGGGGGGGGGGGGCTTTTTTCCTTTTTTTTAATAACTGTATATAAAATTGATAAATCGCTCCGGCCGCCGGAATGGGTCTTTACTTCTCTATCAAGTGCCTTCCTCCCTCCCGCTCCGGAGAAAATTGTCTGAAAGAAACACTGGACATAAACAAGGCCAACCTACTACCTAAAACTATACGTCGTTTTCAACGGAGAGATCACATTTAAAATGTGGTGTTCTACTCAAAATTTAAAAAAATAATAATAAACACTAGTATCAGAAGAACAGCTGTAGTCTATAAATTGTTGTTTAGAAATATCAGCTTGAAATAAGAAAGAAATCCAGTATTAAACAAGTAGAAAACTCTTTAAACGATAATGATATAATGGTAATTTTTCTGTAAGTGTTTGTATTTAAATGTTTATGAAAATAGTTATGCAAATTATTTTAAATAACAAGCGAGATCCACTGCGAACATTAAAGTATCGAGTTCGAATCCAGGGCTCGAGTCAGAGAGTCCACCCAGCTCTGATGGGTACCTGACTCACTGAGTCCACCCAGCTCTGATGGCTACCTGACTCACTGAGTCCACCGAGCTCTGATAGGTACCTGACTCACTGAGTCCACCCAGCTCTGATGGCTACCTGACTCACTGAGTCCACCGAGCTCTGATAGGTACCTGACTCACTGAGTCCACCCAGCTCTGATGGGTACCTGACTCACGTTAGGTAAAGTAAAGGCGGCTGGGCATAGTGCTTAATACACTCTCCCTCCATATAGCCTACCGAGGTCACAGAAACAGGAGCAGTTTCTTTCAGGCATCTCTTTTACCCTCCCCCGAAACAAAATAGAATTTATTTAGAAAATATATACTTTTACTAGTGTCCGCCCCCCTCCCCCCTAGAAAGAAACACTGAACCGGAGAACTCTACTTCATCTGTTCAAAGTAACGCCGGGTTCGAAACATTTCAAAGACCACCATACCTGAGTAAAAATAATCTCATACATTAACTGAGTATAGCTCCTGCTCTATTTACATATTGTACATTTTTTAAAAGATGTTTTTCACAAATACTCAATTTCTGAAAAGGAAACCTCTCTTGCAACTAAACACTTGGTTACTCTCAGCTCCAAGGGAAGCTACTCAGTTATTGTCACGGCAAGAGTGCCTCCCCCTTGTGAATTAATCCATATTTGAGACCCAAGGATCTAACGCAGTTTTTATCTGGGTGATCAGAACCAAGCCTAAAAGGGCTCGTTAAAATGCATTCTCTAATATGTCTAATCTATTTTTTTAAAGATTTATACACCTTGCGTTCTAAATCCACCAAGGTATCCTGGCAAAACTTTTCTATGCCATATGTGTAATAATTATCACTCAGCAATTGAATATCGTCAAATTATATATATATATATATATATATATATATATATATATATATATATATATATATATATATATATATATATATATATATATATGTGTGTGTGTGTGTGTGTGTGTGTGTGTGTGTGTGTGTAAAAGTAGTGTTTCTTCCAGGTATCTCTTCGGGGGGGGGGACGAAAAGAATGGAATTTATATAGAAAATATATACTTTTAACACTGTCCGTCCGTCCCCGTTCCCCCGGAAACTTTAGTCCGTCTATCCCGAAAATTTCAAGTGCCCCCCCCCCACCCCCGGAGAAAAAAGTCTGGTAGAAACACTGGTGTAAAAATAATATTAGTTTGGTATCATCTGTTTCAAATGGCAAGCTTAACTAACCAAGGCTAAAATCCCGTAATTTTCGCTGTAGAGATCAGTTTTATTTACGTTCAGATTGACCAAAAGTTACCGTCTGGCTACCGGGTGGCATCGTAGGTAAAGACGTCTGCATCTATACATCCGGCGCTGCATTGGCAGAATAAAGCTCCAGGTTTTTACTTGCGTTCCCAGAACTGACCACTGGCCTAATTTTGACCACTAGACGCGAGATTAGCCGCCTTATCCGCCCCAGTAAACAGACATTAAGGTATCAATGCGCAGAGCCTGTGTCCCCGTGTCTAGATCCTGCTTGTCTGCGTTAATTATCGACGAACATGGTGTTACGGTGTAGGGGTGTGGTATAGAGAGTGGGGGTGTGGTCTAGAGAGTGGGGGAGAGTGGGGAGAGGGGGGAGAGAGGGTTTGAGTTATGTTTGCAGTGGAAGAATCAAGACAGCTTAGGGTGTTTTTTTTACAGTTGATTGCCGGGTGAGATGTTTGTCTTTTGGGGCGGATTGACGTCACGGGTTCTGGTTGACGTCACTATGTCGGGCTCATTGACGTCACTGATTCTATTTGACGTCACTAGGTCGGGCTGATTGACGTCATGGATTCACTTTGATGTCACAATGTCAAGTTGTCGCTACGAATTTTAATTGACGTCACACGGGCTGATTGACGTCACGGAAGCTGGTTGACGTCATTGAGTCTGATTGATTTCTCGGTCTCGTTGACGTATTCTGTTTGACGTCACCAAGTCAAGTTGTCGCTACGAAAATTAGTTCACGTCACGTGGGCTTTTTGACGTCACGGAATCTGGTTGACGTCATAATTTTAGTTGATGTAATTGAGTTCGGTTGATTTCTCGGAATCTCATTGACGTTGCCAGTTCTGGTTGGCGTCACGAATGCTAGTTGACGTCATAGAATCTACTCAGACTTAGTTTGGAAAACAACGTTGTTGACGTCTTGGGGAGGGGATGTTTCTTCGTTTTAGAACACGGTTTTCTTTGATTGTCTGCATGGCGATACAGTACAGATGTTTGTCTACTGCAGGTTTTGTTGCGATGGGCCGAGACTGGACAGGGCTATGGCCAAAGACTGGATTAGTTCTAGAGTTACTGAACAAACTAACTCAAACCATGTTTACGGTTAAGGTTGCTAGCGATATATACAGGAAATAGCATCGATTTACCCAACCAGCTACCTTATAACTAGCTTCGTTACTAGTATGATAGTATGATAGTGTTATGATAAAAAACACTCGTGTTGACATTCTTTTATGATATGTTTTGGGGAGAATCACGTACTTATAGAAATTGTAGGTAAGTCTATGGGAGTGTGGAATCAGTTACAGTAATCAGAATGAGGAGCTATAAATAGCTGTACTCTAATGTTGGTGAGCCAAAGATGACACCCATTATAAACCTGTTCACCTACATTTGTTGGTTAAATACTTCTTTTTTCCAACTGTTGTATTGGAGGGGATTTCCTCCAACACAACTAAGTATTTCGTGTAAATACGTTATGCGCACTATGCCCAGTTGACTCCGATTCCAGCCTTTTTGTCTTTCTGGATTTGCTTTCATACAATTTATCAACTCAAGAGCAACCTACAAGACAGCACTATTTAATTTTGGAGGTTTCTCTTCTATATGTTGCCTTCCCAAGTTCGAACTCTCGACTTAAGTTGTCAGTAGTGGTTCAAACTTCAGACAGCTGTTGTTTGGGCTGGGGTAAGTTGGTAAGTTGTAATAAAAGACTGAAGTGTTAAAAAGTAACTAAACAGATAGATACTGAATCCCAAAGTGCAAAAATGCTACCCACCGATCAAATAAAGAACACTGAAATCCAGTTTTTAAGAGTTTGAATGCCGACAGCTAATTTCAAAAGATGAAATTCTAAAAGCCAATTAAATCTTGAAACAGATTTTAACAGAAATTTGGTAAAAAAAAATGAACTAAAAATAGATTGACCTTCTACCAAATTTTAACTCGTTTCTCGCTTCACTGAGACAGGTTTTTAACCAACCTCGGCAGCGCATAGACCGGAAGCGTCCTTGGAATTACGATCCTTGCTTTCATCTGATCTGCTTAAAAGATACTTTTTTTATCGTCTGCTTATAGATTCTACAGATAGCACTGTTAAAAAATCTCCCGATTGAGAAGAGGTGGAGTGGGAAGAAGGGGGGGGGATAGAGAGTAAATCTTTTTTCTACTAATGAGAGAGAGGAAATGGCTACTTTAACCCAATAACAGACGGTTCGTCGACTCGCCTCGGTAATGAAGGCACACGGTAGTCGCAGATCAAAACACAGAGTTCGTTAATGGCAGACATTTTTTTTTAATTTTTAACTTGAAAATCTAGTCCGATTAAATTTCCGCTCACACACTGTATTGCGTACAAAATTGTTAGGGGTGCGAGTAAGTGCATGTCAATTAAATTCCTGTTGGCCAGTAGCCTTGGTTTTTATCTCTCAGCCCATAATCTGTATTTACTGGTAGCCAAGGGCACATATACTAAAGGTCAAGGTCGAGGAAAAGTGGTGGGGGGGGGGGGGACGACGACTGGGATTCTGAAGTTGAACGAGTAGGAAGAAGATAAGTGTGAATTATTTTCACATTCTGGGTATAACAAGGCCTAAAGAATTAAAAAAAAAGTAATGTGTTTATAATTTTAGCAAAGAATGGTATGATAAGGTTTATTGCTGAGTTGGAATTCAAATAAAAAATTTAAGAGGCAAAAAAACAATTAATTCATTAAAAAAATAAAAAAATTAAAAAAAAATAAAAGTTACCATTTATTTTGCATTGTGTTTACATTTTACAGGGTATTCTAGCTCTTTGTTCACCAGTATAGCCGTTAGAATAGGGTGTTCTAGCTCTTTGTTCACCAGTCTAGCAGTTAAAATAGGGTGTTCTAGCTCTTTGTTAATCAGTCTAGTCGTTAGAATAGGGTGTTCTAGCTCTATGTTCACCAGTCTAGCCGTTAGAATAGGGTGTTCTAGCTCTTTGTTAATCAGTCTAGCCGTTAGAATAGGGTGTTCTAGCTCTTTTTTAATCAGTCTAGCAGTTAGAATAGGGTGTTCTAGCTCTTTGTTAATCAGTCTAGCCGTTAGAATAGGGTGTTCTAGCTCTTTGTTAATCAGTCTAGCAGTTAGAATAGGGTGTTCTAGCTCTTTGTGAATCAGTCTAGCCGTTAGAATAGGGTGTTCTAGCTCTATGTTCACCATTCTAGCCGTTAGAATAGGGTGTTCTAGCTCTTTGTTCACCAATCTAGCAGTTAGAATAGGGTGTTCTAGCTCTTTGTTCACCATTCTAGCCGTTAGAATAGCGTGTTCTAGCTCTTTGTTCACCAGTCTAGCCGTTAGAATAGAGTGTTCTAGCTCTATGTTCACCAGTCTAGCCGTTAGAATAGGGTGTTCTAGCTCTATGTTCACCAATCTAGCAGTTAGAATAGGGTGTTCTAGCTCTTTGTTCACTAGTCTAGCAGTTAGAGTAGGGTGTTCTAGCTCTTTGTTTCCTCTTTCAGAGATGAAGGAGAGGTTCGTCCGATGGCTTGACCACAACAATGACGGCGTGTCCACCTTTGACGAGGTCAAGAATTTTATTCGCCGCTTCAAACCGGATGTGAGGGATGAGACTGTGGCTGCTTACATCAGGCGGAGGGATACAAACGGTGAGTGGTCAGATCACTGCGCTTCTCAATGTCTGAGTGGTTGGATTATTGCGCTGTTCGATTGATAAGGGGTTACATCCCTTCGTAGTTTTAATAATGATGGATTCCGTTTAGAGGGTTATAAATGTTGAGTAGTTGGTTAAAAAAAGGTCATGACCTTTAATAAGCCAGTCGTAAAGTCCGATAAAGCCACTACTTATATACTTTATGTTTAGAAAAAAAGAAGACAAAAATTTCAATGGAGTACAATACAAATAAGTTTTCCAAGAATCGTTTGTCAAGATTTAGCTAGAGGCACATACACGCTAGCAAATCATTTAAAAAGCCTGTACCAAGTATGTTTATTCTTTCGTTTAAAGCAAATAAAAATCCGCTTTGTTTCGTATCTTGTATTGATTCGATTTTTCGCTCCGTTGCCTGGGGGTTGGTTTTCAAATAACCCTATGAATGGTAAAGACGTCAACGTTTGATGAGCTGCATTAGACTTAATCTTGCAAGCGTTAAAACACAATTAGGCCCTACATTTAAAAAAAGAAAACAGCTTTGGAAAATCCGATTAAGGCGTCAAACACGGTGTATGACGTCCTAATACACTTTTGAAACTATTTGCAGTTTATTTTTTAATACGGATGTGTGCAAATCGAAAGTTTGAGGGGGGGGGGGTGCAAATCTAAAGTTTGTCCCCGGGCACCGGGAAGGGTCGCTACGCCTCTGAATGTCACTTTATTTCACTGTCGCACTTAGTGAAAGATTTAGAAGATACAATAATAATCATTAAAAAAGTTTAAAAAAACCCACGTTTTCTGATTGAACTAAAAAGTAGAAAATAAATGCTATACATCACAATAATGCAAGCGATCACTCTACTATAAGCGATCAAAAACGTGGGGCGCCGTGATTTTCTTACAGTTTCTAATACTGTTGACTCTCTACAAGCTCCCTAATAAAAGTCAATAGTATTATCTAATCAATAGTAATATAACTTTTACTTCGGCGCCCCACGTTTTTGATCGCTTATAGTAGAGTGATCGCTTGCATTATTGTGATGTATAGCATTTATTTTCTACTTTTTAGTTCAATCAGAAAACGTGGGTTTTTTTAAACTTTTTTAATGATTATTATTTTCTACTTTTTAGTCTTTGTCTGTTTGTTTGCATTAAAATCTTGCTATCGATTTTCTTTTCACTTTTTTTTGGGTAAACGAAGACAACTCGTAAAAAACACGTTGTGTGAATACGTTACTGACTAGAACACATAGATTTGAACCCGTGTCGAGTGGGATAGCAATCGTGTGCCCAACCACTCGACCATATCGTCTCCCCCATACTGGCCACCAGTTGTTACGGTTGTTTGTACACAAACACCGCGTGAACACTACTCAGTAAGCAAAGAGGGAGAGTACCGAACCTTGTTTTCATCAAATTACAGTTACTGGGTTATGTCCCCTTTTCCCCACGTTTTTACTACAATTATATAGCGCTCTAAAATGCTCAATAAAATGTTTCCATGGATCAATTTAGTAATAATAACAATTGAATATTCTATTGTCATCCAAAACAAAGCTTCCCTGAAAATTTCAGCGCGCTAGCTAACTGGGAAGTGCCAGAAATTTCGATCGCAAGATTTGATTGGAAAGACAGAGACGAAAGCAAGTTAAAGAAAACGTGGGAAAAATATTTTATATTCAGTTATTAAGTTATATATAAAATATTTTGTTTCTCAATTGAGTAAAATCGTTTTACTTGAAAATCTCGGGACATAGAAATTAAAGTGGAGGAGTGGAGTTTAAAGTCGTATAGTTTCATCGCATTTTATAAAAGTCAATTTTTAGACTGAAATTCAACAGTCATTTCGCATTTTAAAAGGCTTTTTTTAGTTGAAAAATACATTTTTAGTCGAAATGGATCAATATATATTGAGAGAAATCGTAGTTTGACAAATTAAAAATTGCAATTTGGAGTGGTTGAGTTAGGCTGAAGGGGGCGCTATTTTTAAGGTGTAACAGGGGGGGGGGATGAAAGTAAAAATAATTAATTTTATTTTTAAACTTGAAGTCATTTATGGACGAACCATCACTTATGAACGAACCCTTATGACTTCTTATCCCATTTCATATTTTAAAAATTGGATCTAAATGGAAGCACTTATATCTACTTTATTTTATTTTGAGCTTGTTATTAATGTCCACCGTAACCTTATTTCGTTTCTGTTGTGTTGTATTTAACTACTGTACAATTCTTACCTTTACCTCGGTGTAGAATAATCTTGAGTGGGGTATCTGGATGGCGATTATTACTCAGCTTATCTGTGACTGTTGTATCACTAGAGCTTGTTATACTATAGTGTGAATGGGCCACTCATCATGATACTATGGGATTCTGCTTTAACTAAATTAACATTGTTGACTAATTTAGCGATAACTCATTATATTCAGTTAAAAATGTAAAGATTAGCATACTTCTACCTAGACTACAATATCTGTCATTTAACTAGCAGTTAGAGCTTCACCATTGATGATAGAGATACAATTGTGGGTGTATGTGTGTGCGCACGTGCATGCGTGAGTGCGTGCGTGTGCGTGTGTGTGTGTGTGTGTGTAAGAGATAAGTCACTTGTATTTGCATTTTATTATTTTAAACTAGAAAATTTATTTTTATTCTATTAATTTTATAAATATTTCTCTTGATAGTAATACATCTAAGCATGGAATATTAGAGTATTTTCGTTTAAATATTGTGATTTTTTTTCCATCTCTATACTAATGTTTTTTTTTATCTAAGTATTAGAGTATTTTTGTCTAAATTCTGAAATACTGAAGCATTTTCATCAAATATAAGTATTTCATATACCTCCCAAAATAAAAAATAATTGAGAGAAAATGAAACTTTTGCCCAAGAATGTGTTTTAGTTCAACTGTTTATTTTATATTGATCGATTTTAAGTGCAATACCTATCAACACAATTTCTATAATGACTTAAAAGTGGATTATTAGTTGAAGCTTTGATGGATTATACACGGCCGAACCATAATCTTAACCATGATAGCCTTTAATATTTTAACAACCGTTTTCTGGTGCAAACTTCAAAGCTCTGATAAATTATTTTTTTTAGTCAAATATTTGTTTTCCATTAAAATCCACTCGGATAAAGATGATTTTTTTTTTAAATAGTGGCGTCATTTAGTTAAAATTCTTTAATTTTTTTTCCAAAGAAAAAAATAATTAAAAAGTCGTCAAATTAGTTCCAAAAATTAAATAATTGTAAAGATGTTTTTTTTTTAAAAGAATTTATTTTTCGAAATTTGAGAAGAAAATTGGCCTTAAAAAGAATTAACGAGCTAGAAAGTCCTCGTTACAAGTCAGCTTCAGTGAGTTGCACAAACAAGACGAGAGAAGAGAAATGAATAGTGTGCATGTGTGTATGTGTGTGTGTGTGTGGGGGGGGGGGGGTAGCCCATTCTGCTTGATGCGATCGATCAGAACCGGCTTACCAATCAGATCGATAAACTCCAGTCAGAATCGCCTTATGTCGCCTGGTAATCTTAGCAGTCATACACACACCCACATTCACATACGAGCAGAGGTAATGGGGTTCCCACATACAAACACGAGGTAATGGGGTTCTGACTCACATACAAGCACGAGGTAATGGGGTTCCCACATACAAACACGAGGTAATGGGGTTCTGACTCACATACAAACACGAGGTAATGGGGTTCTCACATACAAGCACGAGGTTATGGGGTTCTGACTCACATACAAGCACGAGGTAATGGGGTTCTATTTGTAGTCAATATGCAATGGTATGTTGGAGTCGTTTGTAATAAGATATTGGGGTGGGGAGGGGGGGTTGTGGGGCGTCCATCATAAGGTAAAGGATCTAGTTTTCAGTTTAGTCTATTTGTTTGTAGCAAGTGGGGGGGGGGGGTGGGGAGGGAGGGGGAAACAATAATCAGATACCAAAAATATTTCTTTACATTAAAAAATAAAAAAAAAAGAAACTTCTTATTTTAGGAGAAATCGAAATCATTGGAAGTCTCCATATGCTCTTGAAACGGGGTTTAAAATATCGCATGACGTCATTTGGGCGTTTTTGTCACCAATGTTTCTCGCCAACGTACATGACGGCATTCACACACAGACACACACAGAGAGTCACACACAGACAGACACACGCACAGAGAGAGAGAGAGAGCGAAAGAAACACATACGCACGCAGTAGGTTTCTTTATTATGAATATCATTGCCGATTATTGTATCCTTGTTTGTTTATTCCATTTAAATATTGCTAGATTATAAGAGTGAATTAATAAAAGATAGATATCTTTTTGGGCCTGGAGATCCATGGGATAAATGAAGTAGAGTTGATCTGTTTCTGTGATCTCGGCATTTGAAAGGATAATGTGATCAGCAGAGGCGTAGCGAGGGGTGGGGGGCGGGGGGTGCAGACCGCGCCGTGTGACACCATTTAGGGGGGTGACACCAAGGCAAAAAATAGCAAAATATATAGAGAAAAGCTTGCGGGGGGCGTTGCAAATCGAAAGTTTAAGGGGGGTGCAAATCGAAAAAATTGAAAGTTTGTCCCCCAGGAAGTGTCGTTACGCCTCTGGGGGGTGACACCATTAAGTGCCGCACCGGGTGACACCAGACCTCCCTACGCCACTGGTGGTCAGCACTATGCCCAGCCGCTTTTGCTTCCCTAACACGAGTCAGGTACCCATAAGAGCTGGGTAGACTCAGGTACGTATTACAGACTCGATTCCAGCATCAAGATACGAGCGAATCCGATTAGATTAAATGAATTACTTTTGCAAAGGGTCTAAGTGCTTAGGTTCTAGGCTAAACGAACTTTTATTCAGATAGGTTTAAAGGATAGCTTATGTAGCTGACATGGAATAAAACTGTGCATTTTGTTTTTTAATTTTTAATTAACTTTTCTATTTATTAGAGACTTTTAAAACAATTTTGTTTTTAATTTGAGTATGATCAGAGGCGTAGGGGGGCACCCGGGTGACACTATTTAGGGGTGACACTAAGTCAAAAAATTGAAAAAAAATGCCAGTTCCATTAATGTTTTAATTAAAGTTAAATAGTCTTTTAAGTACAAATCGACAATTATTACCAGAGGGTGGGGTGACACCATGACGTAAACGTGCTAACTAAAGAGAAAGCAATGCCACATCCAACCTTTTAAGCATTGCATATTCTTGAAAACCGACTCAACAAATGCCTACTCTGCTCTATTTTGTTCTTCGGACAACGGGCAAGCCATATGGTTAAAGAACACTTCGACACCCTAAACTCTCGCATATGCAAACTTACAATAGATACAAACATGCTCAAACATTTTGTAACAAAACACCCAAGGGCAGTGGTGTCGCTAGGTCGGGCGTTACCCGGTGCGGCACTTCGTGGTGTCACCCCCCCCCCCCCCCCCAAGAATATATATATATTTATATATATATATATATATATATATATATATATATATATATATATATATATATATATATATATATATATATATATATATATATATATATATATATATATATATATATATATATATATATATATATATATATATATTTCTAAATTTGTACTTAAAATTATAAATGAGATAGGCAAAATAGTATTTTTCGTCTGAAAATTTGGCAATTTTTGGCCTTGGTGACACCCCCTAAATGGTGTCACCCGGTGCAGCCCGCACCCCCCCCCCCGCCCTCCCTACGCCTCTGCCCAAGGGCACTAACTTACAAGTGCTCGTATTGTGAGGATACAGAATCCATATTTACCACAAATAAACAGCTAAAAGCGCACCTCAAAAGCTGGCGCACAGACAACGAAGCAGCACATAACGAAGTTTATTGTCGACTAGACTCACACAACGAAGTAACATGTCTACAGAAATGAAGAAGACTAGTCCAACCAGCAATAAAATATAATTGCAATGTTTCAAAATGACAACCTACTAACACCTTAAGAGCTTAAACTATTGGGAACTTTAAGTATTAAAGCCAACATGTTTATTTAATTAAAAATATTGTTTATCTAGTAAATCTAGTAATTAGACTCACTAAGCAATTACATTAGTGTCATGTCTTTGAAATTGTATCAGAATCAAAATGAAGTTTTTAAAAAATTGTGAAGTGGACAAGGAAGTTGTTTTTATCGACAATAGCTGGACATTGATAAAATGAGTTGCGTTTCACTCATAAATATAAAATACGCAAAATTCTTAAAGGGTTTCTATGTTGTAATTATTTAAAAATAATAATTCTAAAATATATACAAATAGCAAATAAATATTTCTGTACAATGCTTTAAAATGTATCCTTATTTAAAAAAAATGATAGATAATTCAAAGCTATTTAGTAATGCAATATGTTTCTTTTCCTTCCTGTCATAATTGGAAACTTATGTTTTTTTCCCTTGTCATATCTTCGAGTGTAAGATGGGAAGTAATTCATTATAATTAGACTTAAAAAAATGCTTTTCAAAAAGTTTCTTAACACTTGTATGAACATTGTGTCTGGTCTGATCAAACAAATGTACAAAAATTCATGCTGATAGTGATATTTGTTTCCTTTGTGGGTTGCGTTGGTGGGTGGTTATATAATAATGAGGGGGGAGGGATGGTTATATTCCCATCCCCCATCCTAGTCCCATAAGGGTCCGTGTCATCGCCTGTAACTATCCTCGTATTCAGTTAATGATTTTTCAATGGATTTTATTACTAGAAAATGCCATAAACTTGTGCTTGAAATTATTTCCCTTGGTATTAGTATTACGATTGGCCCCTGTCAGATGAAATGCGCAGTGACCTCGTTACCAGTTGCTTTACGTTATGTAGACCTGTGCTATTTTTGTTTTGCTACGCACAGGGCGTTCATCATATATATTTTATGATGAGTGAGCAATGTGGTTAGCCACACGGCCCTCACGACTAATGTGGCTTAGGGGCCATCCATAAATGACGTCACGCTTTTTTGGACGATTTTTACCTCCCCCCTCCCTTCCGTCACATTTTTTTCACGAAAAGCCGACCCCCCTAACATAACGTCGCACATCAGCCTACGACCTCCCTCAAAATTGCGGTTGAATTTTTCTTAAAATACGATTTTTTTTTCCAAAACTCTGTCAACACAGAGTATTTTAATCAATTCCTATTACAATTTATTAAAACATTTTTCTAAAACGCGAAATAACGGCTAAAATTCTTTTTCTAACATTGATTTTTTATGATGCAAAAGTGTGACGTCACACCATCTGAACCCCCCCCCCCCCCTTTCCCCTCATCACACACCGTCACAAAATTACAAACCCCCCCTTTCCCCCCTACGAGTGTGACGTCATTTTTGGACGACCCCCTTATCACTTGATCAATGAAGTAAGCCACACGGCCACAGTGTTTAGCCACACGGCCACAGTGTTTAGCCACACGACCACAGTGTTTAGCCACACGGCCACAGTGTTTAGCCACACGGCCACCACGACCAAGATAGTCTACCACATGACCACGTGAAGTTAGCCACTCGATCAATGTGGTTAGCCACATGACTGCAGAGTTTCTTCCAGGCATCTCTTCGGGGGTCGGAGCCCCCCCCCCCCCCCCAGAAGAAAGTCTACCCCCCCCCCCCCCCCCCCCGAACGAGATGGAATTTATATAGTAAACATACACTTTTACTAGTGTCCGCCCCCCCCCCCTGAAAAAATGTTTACCGCCCCACCGAAACTATCAAGTGCCCCCCCCCCCCCCCGGAGAAAAAAAGTCTGGAAGAAACACTTCATGACTGCCACCATGAGTATGATTAGCCACACAAGTACCCGCTCCTCTCCCCTTCCCAAAGGCATTTGTATTTCTTTCATCATCATCATTGATTGTAAAATTAATTATGCTTACTTTACTTAAAAAAAATTAAAACAGGAAATGGCGTCATTGACTTCGTGCCGGAGTACGTCCATGAAATGACCGCCTCTGAAAGCACACTGGACAGCGCCAAAGAAGAGTTCCAGTTTCTGGACTCAAATGACGATGGGCTTGTGACCGGTGAGTTCAACTGGAACATTGAGGGGGGGGGGGGGCGGAAGAGCGGGGGGTGGTCATAGTGAACTATTGAATATCATATGTAGTAGAGTGTGATGATTGGGGGAGGAGGGATGGGTGACAGAGATAACTAATGATAATTTTGATATGTATACAATTTTAAAAATCGGAATGATTAGAATTAGTGACTGGTTTGTTTCGCATAATTAAAATTTGTGTCTGTCATGTTTTGCATATCTAAAATTCGTGACTGCTTTGTTTTATATAATTTAAATAAAAGACTGTTCTGTTTTATAAGATTAAAATTTGTGAATAATCTTTTTTTATTTAATAATGGAATTAGCGACTTTTCTATTTTATATAATTAATTTTAATGACTTTTCTATTTTATATAATTAAATTTAATGACTGTTCCTCTTGATAAAAATGGGTGTTTTTTTCACGTGATAAAAATTGCTTTCTCTAGAAAAAGAAATAGTGCGCATGAGCGAGGCTTTGGACCAATCGCCGGAAGAGGCGTTACAGACAGCTCAACTCCGCTACATGCCGGCAGATGTGGATAAGGATGGGAAGCTTTCGTTCGATGGTGAGTGACCATGATGGTATGGGCAGAGGGGTAGCGACCCATCCCGGCGCCCGGGGACAAACTTTCAATTTGGCGCCCCCCCCCCCCATATATTCAAAATGGCAGCTAAAATGAGCTTATTTTGACACCCCTATGGTCGGCGCCCGTGGACATATGGGTGGAGGGGGAAGGAGCTTAAATGGTTGGAGAGTGGAGGGGGCCTGTATGGTCGGAGGAGTGGGGAAGGGGGGTGGGGCGAATAGGTTAAATGAAATTTAATAATAAAAATGACATTAAAAATAGGTGTAAAGGGTTTATTACAAATGTAGATAAGGATGGTTAGGTTTCATTTGATTGCTAAAGTTGCATGTAATCTTTCATTTGACTGATACGCTTTCATCTGACTGCTACGTTTTTTTTAACGCTGAAGGACAAATGGGGGGGGGGGGGTGGTTGCAGAGTTTCTTTCAGGCATCTCTTCGAGGACAACGCCCTCTTCCCCCCCCCCCCCCCAACGAAATAGAATGTTATATACTTCAAACAATGTCCGCCCCACCCCCGAAAATTAAATCACCCCCCCTCCCGGGATGTTCAAGTTCTTTCTCCACTTCTGAGAACAAATCTGAAAGAAACACTGGTGGGTAGGTTAGTCAATTGGACCTGAAGAGATGGTAGGGGGGTGGGGGGGGGGTAAGATGTAGTATGGTTAGTTAGGCAGGAGGGGGGTTGGGTAAATTAAAAGCTACTTTCAGGCAGAGGCGTAGCGACCCTTCCCGGCGCCCGGGGACAAACTTTCGATTTGCATCCCCCCCCCTCGTACTTTCGATTTGCACCCCCCTCGAACTTTCAATTTGTTTTTCCAACCCATTTTGGCGCCCCCTGAGGTCGACATATGTCCCCCCTGCCCCCATCGCTACGCCTCTGTTCAGGGTAGCTATCAGCAGGTGCGGGAGGGGTGTAAACAAGCCTGCCAGATCATAACATAGCTGCGGCTCACAATAAAGATGGGAAAATTTGGAATGTAGTTGTGCTTGAGTTGAGCCATTTCAGTAGAAAAGGGGGGTGCTGTTTTCAAGTGGTCATTAATCTGAAACTGACCGTAGGCGTGAGTCTGTTTTAGTTAGGGTTTGAAGATCGGGGTCGTGAGTAAAATGGTGAGTGTCGATGTTCAACGATGAAGGGGGCGGGGGGGGGGGGGGGCGACGTGTTTTAAATGTGGTAGCCGTTGAACTATAGGGGCAGCTGACGATTATTTATACTAGGACTGATTCAAGGTAGTACAACAGATAGAGAACACAATATTTTTAAAGTCTGAAGTTGTTTTGTATTTGACCCACAATTCATAACCAATTCATTAAGCCTCTGTGGAAAAGACTTGGTATTTTGTTTACTTAGCTCATTTTAAATAAAATTTAATTAAGATGAACACATAATTATCTTAAGATTCGGCTGCATGTAAACGATGTTGACAAGGTCTTGCGAATTTCATTACATTTTGTTTTGTTAATTCGCGTCCATGCGTTACTTTGATATATCTGCGACCACATTTGTCAAGCATCCTCGTTGTGTTATATGCCAGCAAAAACAATTTTCTTGCCGGTCGATTTTTGGATTGACATGAGCAAAGTTTAATAGATTCTGGTTCATAATACTCTACATAATGTGTACATATTGGATGAAGATGAAAAGTGCAGGGGGTCTGAATATAGGACGATAAACATTTAATATTCTATGGGGTTGGTAGTGTGGAGAATTTATCTGAAGTAGATTATGTCCTACTGTTGTGCAGTCTGAAGTAGGTGTATATCCTCTTATGATATCTGAAGTAGGTTTCAGAGGCGTAGCGACCCCTCCAGGCGCCCGGGGCGAACATTCAGTTTGGCGCCCCCCTCCCATATATATATATATATATACATATATATATATATATATATATATATATATATATATATATATATATATATATATATATATATATATATATATATATATCTGTGTGTGTGTATGTGTGTGCGACAGTCTTGAAAAAAAAAAAATTACGCTGTATGATTGTTATTCCCTAAAACTTTACTCGAGGATAATAAAATTCCCCTTAAGATGCATTATCCATTAAAGTTGATGATTAGTAATGTCAGAGAAAAAAATTGTAGCGGTGCTAAATCGTTTAGGACAGACTTTTTATATTTTATCTTTGGAACAGTCTCTTTTATGATATAGTATATATTTGGATTATAAGTTTGTAAGATTAAGGTCTAACAAATTATTGTTCCCATTGGAATATTATATGAGTATTTCGTTGACTGGTTGATTGTATAATGAAACACTGCGATTTTTGTTGGTGAAAAAGCGCCCCCCCCCCTTCCCACCATCTTGGACAAAAATGGTAGAGCGGATTTTAAACGTCACTAATTCTTATTTTTATGTTACACAATCGTAAAATACGCTTTAGTTCCAAGGTTCTTTTTTGAGTGATATGGGTTATTTATTCCTTAATTTTTCCGATTTTAGTCTTCGAAAAATCGCCCCCCCCCCATCTAGGAAAGCTGGAAGGCAGTTTTCCCCTAGCTACGCCTCTGGTAGGTTTATGACCTATTGTTATCATATCTCCAGTAGGTTTAATGTCCTGTTTAGCAGTAGGTTTTATGTCATGTTGGTATGCTAACTGCAGTCGCTTTCTGTCCTACTGTTGTGCTATCTAAAGTAGGTTTACGTCCTGTCAGTATACTTTCTGAAGTTGGTTTGTGTCCTACGTTTATGTCCTGTTATGCTATCTGAATTAGGTTTATGTCCTGTTATGCTATCTGCAGTAGGTTTATGCCCTGTCGGTATGCCTACTGCTAACCCTAAAGTCTGGAATTCAAATCCAGGTTCAAATCCATAGAACGTCCCTGAGTTTATCCAGCTTTAAAGGGTACCCAAACTCAAATTAGGGAAAGTAAAGTACTGACCACACTATCTTTTCATATACCAAGGTCATAAAAACAGGTGAACTCTACTTTTGAACCTGATAATCCTTGGAACAGGTGAACTCTACTTCACCTGTCCCAAGGGTTATCAGGTTCAAAAGTGAATTAAACTCCCCCCCTCCATCAAATACCCCCTGGACATTTACCCCCATATTTCCCCCATGTCAATTACCCTCCTCGGGGAATTACCCCCCCCCCCTCCCCACACAAGTTAGAATCATAACTTTAAGTCAAATTCTATACCTATAGATAACCTTTATCATAACCTTAAGAAAAAGACCACAACCTAAGTATTCACCTCAGCCTAAAAACTTAACACAAAACCTTGACCATAACACTAACCGTAATCCTAGCTCTGATCCTAACCATAACACCCAAACCCTAGCTGTAAAGCTGTGTCCTGGGAGAGGGGGGGGGGTAATTGACACAGGGGGCAGGGGGTTAATTACTCTGCCGGGGGGGGGGGAATGCCCTGTTCCCCTGCACAAGGTCTAAGTTTTTTCAGCATGCTCTCTACAGTTGGTGTGATGTCTTGTTTTTATCCATCGGTTATAATAATATGTCTATGAGGTTGATATTTGCATTTAAATTATTGGGGGAATGCCATTTACTGATTAGCTTAATTAAGCCCTAGAAATTGATTTGTTAACTAGTATTTTGCACAACTTTCTCAAGAAGTAACAGAGTGAAAAGGAAAGTCAACTTTCCATAATAAACCTAAATTGTTTACAAAAATTGATACATCTAATTTTAAAGTGAATTATATTCCTATTAGATCTGCTAAACAGCCCTAATATATTAACCTATTTCTTTTACTTTCAGAGTTCAAGGCCGTCTACAACCTGTAGGAAGAAATGCTGGTGCATTAGAGCTTTTTAACTTGTCAAAAATCGCTAAGTGTTGTCAGCTGAATAATGGTTGTTTTTTAAACTTAATTTTAATAAAATAAAGCTTCATTGTTTAATGCATCATCCTAACATTTTTGTACAAGATTCGTAGGAAAAACGGTATTTGATGGACCTAATCAAGATGAAAAATAAGTTTAAATTTATTTTTTATGTAACATTTAAGTAGCAAAACATTGAAAAGATTGCAAAAGGGACGTAACTCATTTAAAGGCTCTTGTTATGGTATTAAAAGTATTTTAGAAATAAAAATGTGAACTTTTATAATTAATACAATCATGAAGTAACAAAACCATTAAAGAGAAAATTTTTAATTTAAACAAATAGAGAACATTAACATGATATCAATTTAAGGTTAATCAAGACTTCTCTCACTCTCCTTTCAAAACCACACAACTATTTTAAAAATACCCTGTGAAATAAATGCAAATTCTAACCAAATTAAATACTGATAAACAATGGAAATCAAAATGTAAACTACCCAAAATATTCTAATCAGTATCATAAAAAATAATTTTAAAAAAATAATAAAATGAGTTTGTGCATGGTGATTCAAAACAGGAAACTTATATAAACAAATGTACTAGACTTCATAAAACACATTATTTTTGAGAATTGATCATTAAAGTTTACTGTGGGTTTTTTTTGTTTGTAAACATATTTACAGGAATTTACACTTTGTGTATTTAGTAGAGAAAATTTATAATTTGATTAAAAAAATATTTATTAGAAAAAATTACTTTGTAAAAATTTAAATTATGGACGGATATATTTATTGTTGTGGCTATGTGCAAAATATGTATCAGTAAAAAAATAATTATAAAAAAATGGGATGGACGAGAGTCAAAACATTTTTGAAAATAAAAAGTTTGAAGAATATACCTAGTTTTGTTTTAGGATATGAGGATTAAAGTTTTTTCAATGATGTTTAATGTTGTGTGCTTTTTTTCTCAGAAGAAATGAAATGTTTTTTTTTTAATTTCACTCTTATAGAAATAGAAAAATATGATTATTTTTTTCACATATAGGGTCATAAAAATATTTTTTTTAAAACTTTAGAATTTTTTTTTCTCATTTAAGTTTTTATTTACTGAATTAAGAAATGGACAAAGTATCCAAAGGTGCAAGAAACCCATTATGACGAAAAATCAGAATTTCAGTCATTTTTTTCTTGCGCATTTCCCCTTAAAATAAAAGGATTTTGAAAATCAGCTGGGTGTTGGGTGGGACATGCTAAGTTGTGTATGCAGACACACAATCAATTTATCAGAAATTTTATCAACGACAGCATATTGACCACAACTTTGAAAAAAAATTACTTCCAACATGCTTGGTTTTAATTTATTCAACAATGGTGGTCAATTTATATAAATATTTTTATAATGTTTTAGAATTTTGACAATTCATTGAGGAATTAAAATAATACATAAACAAAAGCTAAATAAAATAACATCAGGCAGGAATTGAATTATATACAAAAATGAAATCATTATCTGTCCTTAAATGCAGTTTCATCAGTCTCCAGTAGCATAAAATTCAATTCAGCTGAGAAGAACATTTTAAATCTTCAATACAAACAACAGCAATTACAATCAATTTTAACAAAAATTACACAGAATAAACACATTTAAAAAAAAAAAAAAAATTATAAATTTAATTTAATAAATTCATAAACATCAGCCCAAGTCTTGTTAGTGGATGTGAACCTCGCATGCTCTGAAAGAGACAACGGGGCTAAGAATCCATGAGATTGATTGCCCACATACTTCACTGTGACTGAGACATTTGCCTCCTTCAACCTGGACGCAAACAGCAAACCGTCATCACGCAAAACATCATACTCCGCCACAAGTATAAAAACGGGTGACGACTTGGATAAATCATCAGCCAATAGCGGGGACATAAAGGGGTCAATGACTTTAGACTCCACGACTTTAGAGATCTCATCACTGTACGCTGTTGTGTACCTGTCCAGGTTGCTGGGTGTGTAATGTGTTTTAACCAGCTGCGGTAAAAGGTTCTCCGAGGTGTAGAGTGAGTAGATGGCTCTCTTGATGGTGGGGGTGATGTGCTCATTTCTTTCTAAAGCAGAGATGGTGTCACTGCTGGCGTGAACACCCAGGTAATGACACCAGAACTCAATCATTGCTCTTCTGCATCAAGAGTTTAAAAAAATTTCATTCAGTTTTGTGTATGCACTACTAAAATATACATGGCTTACTTAATTTTAGTAAACAAAGATATGAATTCAATGTCTATAATCAAATATAACACTTGACACTAATTTAAAAGATGAGTGTTCTAATCTAGTTTTATCTATAATTTTTTTATTAATAACAAATCCTGAGGAATAGAATGCCTAAATAAAATAAATAAAAGCACCTTCCAACAAGAGTGTCTTTAGCATTCTGCCTATATGACGGTGTGTCAAATGTAAAGGCTTGCATAGCAGGCTGCAACAATATCTATTGGAAAATAAATCAATGAAATCATTAATATTTCAACAAAATTGAATTCAGTAGGATTATTTCCTTAATAAAGAAAATTTTGTTAAAGCCTAAAATTATTCTTTTTTTACCAAGATAATTTTAATTATTTAGTAGTTACTCAAGTTATTTATGCCAATGTGTCTAGTTAAAGTAAGAAGAGTACCTGGAGTTTTACAAAGGGAGTGTACTCTGGGTCTTCTTCTGAGAGACGAAAGGCAACAGCTGCAGCTAAATTAGCCCCTGTTCCATCACCTATGGATTATATGGTTTATACTTATAGAAGTTTCTTTAAAAACTGGACTTCCTCCAAAAAAAATTAAAAAAAATAAAATAAAATTGGTCAACGCTTTATTTCATCAAATATAAGATTCCCAGGTGCATGACATTACCCCCTAGTCATTACCCCTTTGATGAATAGCCCCCATGTCAAGCAAGCTGCGTGGTGATTACCCTTTATTGAGAATATTGATTGTACATATTAGTTAAGCAATAAAACCTGGCATTCTATAGAATGATTGAAATAGATTGGCAGAATATGTAATCAATAATGTTTTAATGTTTTAATGTTAAGGAGTTAAGGGTGAATTTGTAATTGACAAAGGTGGGGGAGGGGGGTGTGCAGTACTTTTGGGGTGGGGGTAATTTATCAGGGGCAATTAAAAATAGATTTAGTCCTAAGGACTGAAGCATTTAAAAAGAGATGTAGTCTCTGAACATTTGAGGACTCAGTCAACACATGAACCACTTACAACCAGCTCATGTGCTTGAAATAACACACTGCTTATCACTTTTGTTTATCTTTGAATCCTGAGCTGTAAATAATATTTACCACTAGCTACACCCAAACATTTTTGCTTTTATACACTACAAAGAGGCCTAACATGACATTTTAGGATTAGAGGATTTAAGGATCAGAACATAAAAGGTTATCATATTACTTGACATATTCTCTTTGGCTTGTTGTACAAACAACAACAAAGGAAGTGGTATACATTTTCAGATGACATATTGTAATGATGTCAAGACTAATCTACCCTTGGATTGTGTTTACAGTGTCTCAGTGACAAATTTATTGGGATTATTTTTAAAAAACTCACAGCAACTTGAGATTTAGGATTTTTTTTTTTAAAAAAAAGAACAATTTGGCAAATATTTAAATTCATTTCATAGTAAAAGAGAAATCTTAAGGGGAAACAATTCTAACAAAATTTTAAAAAGTAAATCAAAGTACACTTTTCACATATGAAGGTTAAAAGGGAATACTTTGACATTTAAAAGAAGTATATGGTCAGTACTACACCCAGTAAACTTTACCCTCCCAAAATCAAGACATGTAGGCCTATGCTTCAGAGATTGGCAGACTATTTAATGTCATACATTCTAGACCCGAGGAACCAAACTCAAATCATTCGGGCTAGCAATTGTTCACTCTACCATTCGACCACACCCTCACATCTAGTAAGACCCAAATATTGAGAAAAAAAAATGTTAACCTGCTACAGCAACTCTTGCGGGATCAACCCCATATCGTCTACCATTGTGTAGGACATACAGGGTGGCCTTCAGACAGTCATCAAATGGTACAGGGTAGGCAGATTCTGGAGACCTCCTATAGCTGTCAGTATCAGACAACATGAATTACAGTTTCATGCAGCCATAGTGTTAACCTCAGCATGCACTAGATCACACTACTCAGGCTGTTAAAAGAAGAGCTGTTAAAAGAAGAGACACAGACTGTGTTAAGTGATTGAAGCTTAGAATTTACATTTATTCTACAAGCATTGATTGGGAAAGCATATTGTGCAGTAGAGCACTTGACGTAACTGTTAAGTCTTGAGTTTGAATCTTGGGCTTTTATCTGTAGGATGTACCTGAGTCCACTCAGCTCTGATAGGTACCCAACTCATGTTAGGGAAAGTTAGGGTCATTAAGCCTAGCACTGACCACACTAACATTTTTTAAGCTGTGGTCACAGAAACAGAGGAACTCTACTTCACCTGATCTATTTATTTAGTGGCTTATGTAAATAAAGGCGTGCAGTTGCAGTGTAGGGTACTCTATAAGAAGGCCACAGTATTCTCAAACTAAGACCAAAATTTGTATTTTAACAAGAAATATATTAAAGTTGAAACCAGCTTAAAATTAAATGGCCTAGATACCAGCAGACATAGATACCAGCTCAACTAGTCAAAAAGACAAGGAAATTTTTTTTTAGAAAAGTAAAAAAGGAACCAATTGTATCCATTTTAATAGGCAAATGAGGAATAAGAGTTTTTAATCTAGTAATAAGGTGGACACTGGGATGGTTGTAGTAAGGTGGACAATACGATGGATGTAGTAAGGTGGACACTGGGATGGTTGTAGTAAGATGGACACTGGGATGGTTGTAGTAAGGTGGACACTGGGATGGGTGTAGTAAGGAAGGACAGTGGGATGGGTGTAGTAAGGTGGACAGTTGGATGGTTGTAGTAAGGTGGACAGTTGGATGGTTGTAGTAAGGTGGACACTGGGATGGTTGTAGTAAGGTGGACACTGGGATGGTTGTTGTAAGGTGGACACTAAGATGGTTGTAGTAAGGTGGACACTGGGATGGTTGTAGTAAGGTGGACACTGGGATGGTTGTAGTAAGGTGGACACTGGGATGGTTGTAGTAAGGTGGACACTGGGATGGTTGTAGTAAGGTGGACACTAGGATGGTTGTAGTAAGGTGGACACTGGAATGGTTGTAGTAAGGTGGCACTGGGATGGTTGTAGTAAGGTGGACAGTGGGATGGTTGTAGTAAGGTGGACACTAGGATGGTTGTAGTAAGGTGGACAGTGGGATGGTTGTAGTAAGGTGGACACTGGGATGGTTGTAGTAAGGTGGACACTGGGATGGTTATAGTAAGGTGGACACTGGGATGGTTGTAGTTAGGTGGACACTGGGATGGTTGTAGTAAGGTGGACACTGGGATGGTTGTAGTAAGGTGGACACTGGGATGGTTGTAGTAAGGTGGACACTGGGATGGTTGTAGTAAGGTGGACACTGGGATGGTTGTAGTAAGGTGGACACTGGAATGGTTGTAGTAAGGTGGACAGTGGGATGGTTGTAGTAAGGTGGACACTGGTATGGTTGTAGTAAGGTGGACACTGGGATGGTTGTAGTAAGGTGGACACTGGTATGGTTGTAGTAAGGTGGACACAGGGATGGTTGTAGTAAGGTGGACACTGGGATGGTTGTAGTAAGGTGGACACTGGGATGATTGTAGTAAGATGGACACTGGGATGGTTGTGTAATAAGGTGGACACTAGGATGGTTGTAGTAAGGTGGACATTGGGGTGGTTGTAGTAAGGTGGACACAGGGATGGTTGTAGTAAGGTGGACACTGGGATGGTTGTAGTAAGATAGATACTGGTATGGTTGTAGTAAGGTGGACAGTGGGATGGTTGTAGTAAGGTGGACAGTGGGATGGTTGTAGTAAGGTGGACACTGGGATGGTTGTAGTAAGGTGGACAGTGGGATGGTTGTAGTAAGGTGGATACTGGGATGGTTGTAGTAAGGTGGACACTGGGATTGTTGTAGTAAGGTGGACAGTGGGATGGTTGTAGTAAGGTGGACAGTGGGATGGTTGTAGTAAGGTGGACACTGGGATGGTTGTAGTAAGGTGGACACTGGGATGGTTGTGTTAAAGTGGACACTGGGATGGTTGAAATAAGATGGATGCTAGTATGAGATGTAATAACACAAAAGGGAGGATCCTACCTCACAGAGATGACTACAGTGTTTGTATGAAGCGCCAGCTGAGAGCATACAAGGTTATAGGAATCTGAAGAGCAAAAAAAAAAGGTTAAAAAATCCCTGATCATTATTAGCAACATTATTGAAATATTTAAAAGAAAAAACCAAAAACAAAAGCTGTGTTAGGAGCACAAAAATACAGCTCTAAGAGGTAATAACATTAGTTGACTGAAGGTAAAATAGCCTTGGGATCATTGAGCCAAACATGCCTGTTATATCTTAAAGAAAGAAAGATCTGCTTTTGGGCTCTTAAGTTTTCCAAGCAAACGTTAGATAAATATTTTATATTAGAAATTCATTTTAGACATAAAAAAAAATTATTTACCAAGTGTGAACAGGGTCCAGCCACCCCCATGTATATATACCAAAGCAGGTGAAACATCTGTAGTGAGCTTTGAACGATACAAACGAACTGGTATGCCATCAAAATTATGATTTTCAACCTGCAATTTTTTTTACAGAGACAAAGTAAAAGAGGATGTAGATCTAGTTATATTTTAAATCCAGATCAAAAGCTAAGAAAAATCCTACTGCTGAGCTTTCATGGCTACAATAATTATTAAATATTTAATTTTAGAAGAGGTACCTATAGGCCCACACCTATTTCTCCAGAAAAATTAATTAATCCTAATGAGTTACTGCCATTTGTTTTACAATTAAAGATGCATTCATTTGTTTTTAAATTTTGCTCACTAGAATTTCAGGATCTTCAAAGTTAGAGTCATACAACATCTCCAATTGCCATCTAAGCAGATCTACTGATGAGATACCAGTAATCATTGATAAGAATTCAGCCTGAAAACATAACAAGATAATAGTTTTTATTATATTTAAAGTATCTGCCCTTTGAAATAGAACAGCATAAAACACCACATACAAAAAGTAAAAGGAATATAAAAAATTGCGATTCTATACTAATAATTAAAGTTCATCAGTTATACAAATATTCAATTTTAAAACGAGCACTGTTTTGAATTATCAAAGAAAACAAATTACCATTAAGTTGGCAAATTTGAATGCAGCTATGTAGGTCTTAGCTAGCCATGGATCTTCTAGATCTTCAGGCACTGTGCTGTACAAGTGATTTGCCAGGAGCAGCATTGTTACTGCACTTAACGCAGCAAAAGATTTTAACAAACCCATAATTGTCCTGAACTAGGGAAATATTTGAACAGGACAGTTTATTTAAACTATTAGATTACAGGGGTTGGGCGGGAGGGGGGGGGGTGTTCATTCATAAATGACATCACACTTTTTGAGACGATCTTTATAGCCAGAATTTGAACATATTTTTCCAAGCTCAGTTAAATTTGAGTATATTAATCAATGTCTATTACTATTTATAGGAATAAAACAGTTTATTTAAAAATAACAGATAAAAGTTTTATTTGTAAAATTTGGTTTCTAATATTACTTTTTTTAAATGCAAAAGTATGTTGTCCTTTTTGGACGACCCCTTAGTTTTTAAATACAAAAGATATTAATTATTAAGATGAGCTGTTGATAGATCTAGTGTCTGAGTATTGCGTAAATCACAGTAGCAGAAATGGTAGCAGAATCTAGACTCTAGGTTAGATCTAGTTGAAGTTTAAACCAGTTTAAAGTAGTATGTTGACTAAGAGCCCAAAGTTATTTAGGTCCTATTTAATACTACACACAGACAGGTACTTGAATGAAATTCCTAATTTGTTTACATTTTAATTTCTTTTTATTATTTATTTACTACTTCAATCTAGATCTAATTAATCGTGTAAAGTCACAGAGTAAAGTATGTGCCTTAATTGTTATTAATTATTTAATAATTATTATTTAAGCTATTTATTAGGGCCTATATAAGCCCTAGGCCTATATAATATATAATATTAAATTATAATGGTAATCTATCATTCTAGGTACGTAAAATCAGCCGAGACTAGTAATGTGAAAAAAAGCTGACTCATTAATTTTTTTTAATTGTTTCACATTTTTAGGGGGATTTATGTTTTCAAAGTTACAAAAATGTTTCAAAGTTTCATTAATGTACCTGTTTTTAAACATTTGTATTAAAACTTTTGAGTTAAAAAAAAAAGACTAGCGATGTTTTTATCAGATGCAACCAAACTCATTTACTTTAGCAGCCATCTACTGCATCTAAGTTTTTTTGGTAAAATTATAGTTAGAGATTCAGGGGAAGCCACTCTAACTTACAGATGTTAGCAAATCTTGCTTGCAAACACTGCTGTTTAAAATTAATATCTGGCCTATATTTATATATTTAGCCATTGATTTTGGTTTATTATTCAGTAATCTATAAGCCTAATATTTGACAGAAATATATCACAATACACTTCTATTAACACTTTACTTCTAGCACACTACTAGCCTCGGCCGATTTTACGCACCTAAAATGATAGATTACCAATTATTATTATTTAGGCCTGTATCACAGTATGTGCCATATGATATAGACTCTACTTAATAACTTGTAGTAATAAGTAATTACAGCTGCACTACACTAAAAAAAAAAATACTAAAAAAGGTAATCTATCGTTTTAGGTAAGTAAAAATCGCCAGCAACTAGTAATGTGAAAAACAGGTGACTCCTTAAATTTTAATAATTATTTCACATTTTCAGGAGGATTTATGTTTTGAAAAATACAAAAATGTTTCCTTGTTTCATGTATGTACCTGTTTTTAAACTATTGAATTAAAACTTTTCAGAAATAAATGAAGACTAGTGATGTTTCCAATAGATGCAACTATAGTCATTTACTATAGCAGCCATCTTGTTTATTTTTTTTATTGTAAACTTATAGTGCAAGATTCAGGGGAAGCCACTCTAACTTACAGATGGCCGCTTTTTATATAGCAAATCCTGCTCGCAAACACTGCTGTTTAAAGTTAATTTCTTGCCTATCAAATAATAGGCCGATGCTAGCCGGAAAAAGATACGCATGCGCAATGGAGAGAAACTATGACTTTCCATCGCGGCGATGTTTTTGATGGTACTGCGCATGCGTGTGTTTACAACTGCAGAACCCTAACACCAACCCTATTCCCTAACCCTAATCCCTATCCCTAACCCTAATTCTAGCCATTGGGGAGAAAAATCTTCTTCCAAGTAGTCACTTCGAAAATAATATTGATATATTTATTTAGCCATTGAATGATTGATTTAGGTTTATTATTTATCTATATTATTATATTTGACACACATATATCACAATATGAATATATTTCTATTAAAGCCTTGACAACGAGGTAACTTTTCCGTGTAACTACTAGAAATCTAGATCTATAGAGTATAGAGTCATAGACTATAGCCGCGGGCGATTTTAGTTACCTAATAAATCTAGACTATCTAGATTTCTAGATCTAAATCTAAATGTCAATGTCCTTTTAAAACTAAAAAAAAAAGTAAAACGTCGGTAGAAATTAAATTTTACTAACTAGATCTAGATCTAGATCTAGAGTTTATATATAGATCTAGTTAAAATTAAGTAGTGTAATAAAGTGATCAACTAGATCTAGATTATAATTTTTTTTAAAGTATGTTGTTGACTTTGAGTGCAGCTAGAATCTAGAATCTAGTAACTGTAAGTAACTAGATCTACTTGAAAGAAAAAAAGTGAAAGTTCAATTAGTGGGTTTTCCCGTTTCAATAGGAGACAGCAATTTCCGGTTAAATTAAAATTTGGAATATTTCGCACACAAACCAGTAGGAAACAATTTTTATTTGACAGAAATAGATCCAATTACAATACTATTAATACAAAATAAAATATCATACACAAATGACCAATTTTTTAAAGATCAGTATGTTGGAATGTTGAAAATTTTTTTTTATATATTATAAGAATATTTTTTCAAATTACTTCCCATCTGAAAATTCAGAATAATTCAAGGGAAAGAACCTTTATTTATGTTCTAAAAATATAAAAAATATTCAAGTAATACAATAGCACTGAGCTTTATTATTTTTATTTTTTTTCAACATGTATATAAAATACAATGTAATAAATTGTGTATATGTTGTATATTTTAAAAACATTTTGTACTCATATTTGACTATAACTTAGATCGAAAGGGAAATGCTTTATCAAATATTGAATTTGTACATGTAAACATTTATGACAGATATCAATTGATAGCTCGTCGGTGAAAGGCATTTACGAATTTTGTGGATTTATAAAATATATACTTGTCAACAGTCTCCCCCCCCCCCCTCCCCCACTCCGGATAAAAAAAAGTCTGAATGAAACATGCTTTGAACATCATCTTTACTAAAAGACTCGATACTCCAGAACGGACCACATACAGCTACAAACAAAATCAGCCATAACCCACAGACGAACAAAGAACATTATCAATTGCATAAAAGCAGAGATCAAGAACTAGCCAATGGGTGGGGGAGAAATCTAACTGTAAAAACTGGGGTTTTTTTCTCATAAAAATGTCACAAGTGCCAAATTTATTAAGTAATAAAATAAGTAAAATGTATGTATATTATTTATGTATAAAAATGTAGTATAATGTAAAAACTCATTGTAATATGTATAACTAGTGTAAATAAATCATTTTCAAATAAATAAAGGACATGTCAGAAATAAGTATTAGCCTACTATTGTAAATACCAAAGCGAAGATAACATCAAACAGCGCTGGAAATTACGGTCTGTGTTTCTTCCAGACTTTTTTCTCCGGGGGGACACTTGATATTTTCGGGGGGGGGGGGGGGGGGGGGGGGGGGGGGGGGACAAATTTTCCGGGGGCGGACGCTGATAAAAGTATATATTTTCTATAAAAATTTCCATTTCGTTTGGGGGCGGTAGATTTTCTTCGGGAGGACTCCTCCTATCTTTACTCCCCCCCCCCCCCCCCCCCCCCACGGAAGAGATGCCTGGAAGAAACATAAAAAAATGTGCAAATATAAAACTACGTATCAGAAAACTGCGCAACAGAAAAAATGCACAAATTACTTACACTAATTCACTTTGATTCTCTCATATTTCGTGGAAAATGTTTATTATGCTTTGTACGTGTGGTGATTTTTTTTGAAGATTTATATAAATACTCAATTAAAAACAAAATCCCTTACGCACATTTTTGTGCTCAGTCATCAGTTGTTCATTTTTCGGTCAACGTAAATTAAATGTCTGATAAAAAAAAATCCGGGTTCAAGTCAGTGGAACGTTTTTGAGTTCACCCAGTTCTGATGGGTACCAAACTTACGTTAGGGAAAGTAAAGGCGGCTGGGCATAGTGCTGACCACATTATCCCTTCATTTGTCGAGATCAGGAAACATATGAACTTTATTTCATCTGCCCAAGGGATCTTTAGGTCTAGAGAGGAATCTCTACTTTACTATTCATTCTTCGCAATTTCAACTAGTGTAGACTTGGCCGCCGTTATTGTAGACGCGATGATTCGCAGTGATATTTCTTCAGAGCCTAGAAAGTTATAGGCACTAAGGGAAGTGGCCGGCCAATACACTGACAATTTACGGCGAATCGGACAATGGCCACACACGTTGGTCCAAAGTGCAAAATAGCAGTGGCGACACTAGATCGGGTGCCATCAAGCGAGGTAAATGATGGTGTCACCCCCCCCCCCTTCATAAAATTATGCAAATTCTACTTGGTGACACTCCCTAAACTTCTGTCCCTTATTATCTGAACTTTAATTTAAGTTCCCCCTTTCATCCACACCCACCCACAGGAGAAAAAAAAATTAACACCGAGGAATGAGTGGTATGCTATGTAAACTAAATTCGTAATCAAAACATGTTAAATGTTTTGTTTTTTGGAAAAAAATAAAAACATTCTTCACAACACATTGAAATAATTTCGCGCGAATACTCCTATTCCCGTCCATGTTTTTTATAAAAACTCCTTCGTTTAGCTATAGGCTTAAGCAAGCTGGAAGTAAAACCGGTTCTGCAACACATCAACGGTGGGCAGGGCGGGCTGCTGTCGCCTGCCACACGCGCACATCACGGCCCAGGTATTTTTTCGCCTATCTCCAGACGAACCTAGGCTATATTCGGAGTTGTTTAACGTGTGTTCGGCCCAAGTTCAAGGCTTAACGCAGACGACACCCAAACTTGTTATTCATCCAAGCGGCGTAACCCCACCCAGGGTTCATTCTTTAAATAAAAAAATAAAAAAGAAAC